CCCGGCTGAAAAACAATATCTCTAATTTTTCGAATTAGTGGGGAGTAGAAAGATCCTTCTGGAGGCCATTCAACTCCAAAGGTGGGCCATTCTGAGGCACAGAGAGTCTGCCAGGTCCGGTGTTTTATTGAAAAAGAAAGATTCTGAGCCCTTAAGCGGACTTCAGCCCAGTGATCAAGGGTCAGGGACAGAGGCGTGGAATGACTCTGTCCCATAATGAAAGTTACTTGAACAAAGACAGGGACAATACAAATGACAAATGTGACACCAACATGGACACACAATGAACAGTAAACGTGTAACACAAATCCAGAGGCAAAGATTAAAAACAGACAGTGAATTCAACCTGAGAGAAAGAATAGTTGTTGGCAAAACCAGACGGGTTGGCAGCAGAATATAGATGAGGGCACCTCCGTCCTTCCCAGATGGGGGTATTTTCGTCCCCCCCAGAGTCTCCCAAAGCGTCCCTTGAGGAGACGTGGTTTGTGGCTTCAGGGACACGTCTATTTACCACCGCCAGGGAGAACTTATGCTCTCCGCTGATAATTACATTCTGCCAACCTAAAACCAGAAAACCAGAAGACAGATGAGGGCACCTCCGTTCCTCCCAGATGGGGGTACCTCTGTTCCCCCCAGAAGCTTTGAGAGTTTTTGCTCTTCTCTGAGGCAAAAACCAGAAGCCAGAAACCAGAAGCCAGACAATCACAAAGGAAAAACAAGGAGGAGAAGAAGAAGGAGATAAGGCGCCATATTTACCCCCCAAAGGAGTCTTGTTGAGGTCTCCCTGTCCGGCGATGCGCAGTTCCCGGCCAATGCACCAAATGTAAGGGTATGGCGAAACGTCGGAGTAAGAGACCACAAGAGACTGTCTTATGCAAAAGCAGAAGGGTGGGTTTATTTGGAGACCAGCATGCTGGGGCTCCCTCTATAGCAAAGAGAGAGAGAGCCCTGAGAACAGCTTGAGCAGAGCTTATATACTTTCCATGGAGAGGGTAGGGAGGGAAGTTCATTGATGGGTCAGGGTGAGTGGGCAGTTTGCCTGTAACCGAGTGAGGGAGTACATCCTGCAGTTTGGCAGTTGGGGACAGCACATCCTGGGAACAAGATTAGCAAAGAGTTCACAGTTGGGGACAACACATCCTGGGAACAAGATTTTAACAGTGTTTTGTTAAGCATATAGAAAAACAGAGTGACAAGTACCTATTTTATTAACCTTTCAATGTCACTTATTCAATATAGCTTATGCTAATTTTCTCAGGAAAGAAGGTGGTATCCAACAGATCTCTCCATTACAGAGCTTCTGCTCTTATAAGTAAGTGATAGACATCACATCATGGTCTTTCAGGACTATGTAAACATCCTGCTTATGAAATCACTCACCTAACTGTTCTAGCTTTGATTGATGCTCCTTGCTTGAACTGATATCAGACGGAAGGCATTGTAAAATGATATTGCTGATTTTATTCCCTTTTGCTTTATGTAGTTTTGTCATATGGTTTCTCTCTCTGAAAATGTCACTGCTTGTTTTGGGACACAGTTTCCATTTTTTCAGACCAGCAGATTGAGCTAAGTAATTTCCATTGTGCCTTTCAGCTCCTGAATTCCTGCTTTGATTTGTCTTTGTTATTTCCAGGGCACAGCCATATGGACCTCACTGACATCAGTGCTCCATGACAACAAAGAATTCCCCCACCCAGAGATATTCGACCCTGGGCACTTTCTGGATGAGCATGGCAACTTGAAGAAAAGTGACTACTTCATGCCTTTCTCATCAGGTAAGAGAAATATTTGAGATCAGCTACTTCTTACCTGGTGCCTTGTCTGGTGTTAGAACATTTGTTTTTTACATGAGAAGAGCACCATTGTGTTACCAATGCACTCTCCCTGCTAAGCTTTCCTTCTATAAAGTCAATCTCATTTAAATATTCCTCACCCACTAAGTGAAAGGCATCTCACTCCATGATGTTTTTGGTTTTTAAATGTTGTTCAACACCCCTCTTGTTCCGCTGTGGTGATGGTAGTCTCCACAAGGATGAGATCACATAGCAAAGGGCCTCTAGGGAAGCAGCTTAGTGAATAACTGATTGTACTCTGGTGTGCTTAGTGTGCTGAGGTAGGGGAGATTTCTGTGTTGGCTGGCTTACCAGGATAGGCTTCCAGGATGTTGTAATATAATATTCCACTTGAGGTTTATAATGGACTTTGTGTCTTCATAATTAATGATGTTTGAGCTGACTCAAAAGAGTCACATAGAATGGAGAAAAGAAAAGGCAGGACATTTTTAAGGAAGCAATGAACCACCACAGAAGACCTTTTGTTCTCAGTCAGGAATGTCAGAAATTGCGTGATAACCACGAGCTTATGGAAGAATTGGGGATGAGGGAAGAGACCCTACAATGACCACAGAGCATCCTGCTCTTCCTTCAGTTATGGTTATGTGTCTTGGCTATTGAATCTCCCATCTGCAATGTGTTTACTGATTCTTTGCTCATGGACTCTCCTTCCTTGATTCCATGACTCTAGATGTCTGCCTTATATCTTGCACTGTACATCCCATGATGATAAGTCAAGGAACCACTATTCAAGTCTCACATTTCAACAGGTTAGAAAATTAAGATGGACATGGAAAACTATGATTCCAGGTGTTTCATGGTTCCAAAAGAGCATGAGTATTATGTTGAAGATATCAAAGAGGGCAAGATTTAAGTGCTTGAGGGGATCATAAAGAGTGTAAAGAGGACATGAATTTTCATTTGTGTCCTGACTGGAATGAAGGGAAATTGTGTCTTATACAAGAAGATTAGCATGATGTAAAAGATGAACTTTCATGGTTCTTTGGAGATTCAAACGATTCTGTTAGAGGTGAGATTAGAGGGTTGAAGAATGAAGGCAAGGTCATGCAACATCAGCATGGGAATAGAAAATACAAGTAACAGAGTTATTTAAAAAATATACTTAGAAAATTCAAATTCAAAAGTGTCATTCCAGTGTAGGAATTCTAAATAAAAGTGTTTGGCACAAAGCTGATACTTCCAAAAATACTGTTTGAATGAAATATTTGTTAAGATGGACAAAAAGTGTCTGCTCTTTTTCCATTTGTCCATCCAAACATTCAATCATTCATTAAATGTTTATTTATATTCTCATTTTTACATAAGAAGCACAGTGATTGTCACTGTCCAAATGTCGCATAAGCATATTGTGTTTTTTGTTTGTCACAGGAAAACGGATGTGTGTGGGAGAGAGCCTGGCCCGCATGGAGCTGTTTTTATTTCTGACTACCATTTTACAGCACTTTCATCTGAAATCTCAGGTTGACCCAAAGGAACTCAATAACACCCCAATAGCCAATGGATTAACCTCTCTTCCTCCCCTATACAAGCTCTGCTTCATTCCTGTGTGAAACAGAGCAGACCATGTGGCTGCTGCTGTGCTCTTGTCTGCAGTCCCTTCCCCCAGGGCATCGTCCACATCCTTTCCCCATCTGTGATGCATTCTTGACCTCTCCTCTGCATCTCCTCATTCTAGAGAGTAAGGGAGCACACATCTTGCTTTATAGAGTTTTTTTTCTTTCTGGTCATTGTACAGATATACCCGTTCTTTCCTGTGTTCTATAATACTTTTATTGATCACCCCAAGTAATAACATGGATCTAATGCTGAGTTATTGATACATTATCAGTGTAAAACATCATGGTCATTTAGAATATGATCTGTCAGAACCATCTATCCCATGCATGTTCTTAATAAAATACATAATTGATGTCTGGATCAGTTCTCAAATTTCTCTTCTTTGGTGCAGTATTGGTAAGAAAATAGAGACCCAAGATCCAATTTGGTTCTCATAATGGTAGACACAGCGAGGCAGTGGTCATTGAAGAAACCAGGGGAGATTAAAAAATTCATAGAAACAAATGAATATGGAAACAGAATCTATCAGAACCCTTGGGACACATCAAAACAGGCTTAAGAGGGAGGGTTATAGTTGTAAGTGCCTACACTAGAAAAACAGATCTCCAGTAAATAACATAATGATGTATGTCACGGATTAGAAAAACAAGGAGAAACCCCATTCCAAAGTGAGTATAAGAAAAGGAATAATAAGATTTGATAAGATATAAATGAAATAGAGATTGAAAACAGAATATGAAGGATTAATGCAATAAAGGGTTCTTTTCTGAACAGATAGACAAAATTGAGGAACCTTTAGCCAAACTAACCAAAAGAAAGGGGATATCCAATTTTACTACATCAGACGTAATTAAGGCATATTATAACAGATACCACTGAAATCTGGAGGATCATGATGGAATGTTTTGACAGATTATATGTCCGTAGATTGGATAATGTGGAAAGTTCTAGGAATAAGACCTACCAAAGTGGAACCAGAAATTGTAAGAAGCCTAAATATGTCAATAAAAAGCAAGGATGTTGAAGAAGTAATAAATGCAGATAGACTCACAACCCAGTTTTCCTAGACTTTAAAAGAAGTACAATTGTCCTAAAACTATTCCTTAAAGAGAAAATGAAGAAATGCTTCCAAACTCATTCTATAAATCTAGTATTATTCTCTCATCAAATATGATGGCTTACGTGCACAAAAACAGAAGCACACTTTGTATACAAATGCACAAAATATAAACCAATATCCTTGAGATACATAGAGACCAGTGTCCTCATTACAATACTTATATGTCCAATTCAACATTATATTAAAAAATCATGTACCATGATCATGTTGACTTCATTCCAGGGACATATGTTTTGCTAACCTTGGCAAATTGATAAATGTAATATACCACATAAATTAAATTAAGGGTAAAAATCTCAGGATTATTTCACTGATGCAGTAAATTCCATCAATAAAATCCTGCATACAGGGGCTGGGGTTATAGCTTAATGGTGGAGTGCTTGCCTCATAAGGGTGCACCACTGGGTTCAATTCTCAGCACCACATACAGATAAATGAATAAAAAAGATATATCACCAGCTAGAAAATATATATATTTTAAAAATTCTGCATACATTCACAACAAAAACCTAAATACAGAAGGATAACAGTTACTTGGATCATGGACTTTGACTGCATCTGGGCTATAGCTACACTGCTCTAGGAAATTTCTGTGCGATGAAGCAGGACAAGTTTGCCCAGTTGCTATGACGATGCCTGGCCTGAGGAAGTTCTTTGCAAGGCATGGGACTATGTGTCTTGACTCTAAGTTCAGACACCTGCTGCCAGAGATAGAGAATCATAATCATAGCAAGATAATTATAATTGATTGTGAGTGCATTGACCTTTAAGCCTGCCTCCTTTGAGGAAACGTTTCCACAGAGAGACTTTTGATGATAAAACCTATATAATAAACATGTTGAGCTAGGTACGGGTCATTGGTTCTCCATCATAGTATGGTGTCCCATGTGTTTCTAGATTTCTCTCTAAGTGTCTGTTTGTCTTTCTTTGTCTCCCATTGCCCTTTGCCATACTCTAAGGTTCAGCCATGTAGGTTGTGGCATTTGGCTCGTGAGCAGGACACAGGGGGAACTTTAAGGATTAGGTGAGGGGACACTCCTGAGGAATCACATCAGTGAAATAAAGGCAAGGATTGCAAGTGTATAGCCAGACCTACAGGTTCCAAAGAGAGGAAACTTTGTGTACAAATGCTTAAAGTAATGTTTAAATCAAGGAATGAAAACAAAGAAGCAAAAAGGGGTCTCCAGAGAAAACATAAACTATAGCACCACACCTTAAGATATTGGTTTTGCAAAAGAAAAAAATGGCTAAAATGCTCTATGCATGAGGTTTTGCCTCTCAAGCTCAAGAGAGCAGCTCTCCTTTCTTCTTAGCTTCTTCCAGATCTCTATCTCTCCTGGAATTGCATTTGAAATGTAAATTGCAGAGGCAATGATTCAAAACCAGTATGAGGCCAAAGGAAAAAAAAGTGTCACTTTTAGATTCAAGGTGCTGTGGGGCCTAAATGGCTGGCTCTATCTCCTCTCACTCTCTACCACTGTTCTTTCTTAATGAGTTCCTCCATAAATACTACATCACAGGGAGAAAAATGGGAAGATCTCATATATACAAGTCTTCTTTACTTGAGGATTTTATTTGTTTCACATTCTTTAAATATCAGGATTGGCTGTAATCTGATGCCAAAATACACTCTGATCTGATAAAGATGTTCTGCATCTTCCTTTACTAGAATAAATAATAGCTGTGTTATCTTTTTTTTAAAAAACATCTTTTTTTCTAAAATTCTACATTTTTGAGCTTATGGTTTTATGGTGAATTCACATTTGATCCTCCATTCCTAAATTAGTATATTTTCCCAATCAGTCCTTTATCTAAGTATAGAGGATGTTGCACTCTGTCTTTGTTTAGAGGCCAATGTTTCAAGAATTGATTCTTAAATGCATTGGGAAATCTCTTTTCACTAAATCCTAAATGGTAGTTGAAGTGGTGGTGTTGGGAATATGTCTGATAGCTACTGGAGACAAGTGGCCATCTGAACATTTGATTTCTGTGTCTGCCATGGCTGTCAGGATTTACACCTAATATTTCCAAGTATACAGGATTGCCCTATATTTAAGACATACTGTAAAAGTCTGATAGGCTCCCTTTTAATTTCTTAAAGGTTATATCTAATAGAGGTTTTACTAAACCTCCTACCGGTGGGGGTCTACCTGTTGCCTCCTACCTGTAGGAATCTACCTACAAAAAGCTACAAGATATTTGTTTCATGTTTGTTTTGTGTATGTGTGTACACCTGTGTATTGTATTGTTGTTTCTACATATGTGCTTGTGTCCATTTATCATGCACATTGTATCAAAATTGGCATATAGATAAATGAGCATTCATAAATTAAAATTTAAATAAGAAAATGATCCAAATACCTTTTGGTTCATGTGATTTTTAAAAAAAGAAGTTCATTTTAAATTAAGTAAACAGATGAGAGTAAAGATGTTTTTAAAATACTAACTCAAGTTTTTCTAAGTGGTCAGACAATAAAGTGTTGGTTTCTGTAAAATGTCTAAAATGTAATATTGATTGTTCCTAGGTTTTTTCTTCAATAGTGAAGAGATGGCTTATACTGTTAACTACACTGGTCTGATATCCTGGTTTTTACAGTTAAAATTAGTAAATCAGATTACAGTAGATGGAATCAATCTTTATACATGTGTTTGTTAAAGAGGAGACATCTGCAAATTCCATAAGGTAATATATTTAAACATTATATGAGTTTTCATAAATCAGTAAGTTAAAAAAGATTTGAGATTGATTTGTTTCTGTGTCTTCAGTAAAACAAATGTACTAAGAATTAAGATTCTATCAGATATAATTTTATATACAAAGAGTACAAAAGATTTCAATTAGGTTTTAATTAAAGTACCATAAAAATAACATGTTCCATCTTATTAAAGTAGAGTAATTTGTCTAAACTCAGAAGTTTCATAAGGACTGTTTTAAAATGTAAATTTAAAAGAGGGGTCAAGAGCTAGAAATGAGATATAAGGAAAGCTATAGGTGTAGAAAGATTTTTAATATGGAAAGTAGAAGGAAAAAGAAATGTTTCTAGATAAGAAAGTCTTTTGTGTGGTAAAGTAAAAAGTAAAGTAAAAAGTTGTAAAATGTCTAAGTACTTTATGTAACATTTGTAGAGTGTAAATTTCAAAAGGTTTGTGTGCAACTAAATTGGTTATATATAAATAGCACAATCAGTTAAAGTTATTCAAGGTTTTTCCCAAGGTCTAATATTAATGTATTCATATAAACCAAGTTTAATCCTCTGTGTGTTAAAGTCATAAGGATTTCTTAAAACATTAATCTGCTTTTATCTATCAAGATAATTTCTTTTTTTCATGTTTTATTAGTTGTTCAAAACATTACAAAGTTCTTGACATATCATATTTCATACATTTGCTTCAAGTGGGTTATGAACTCCCATTTTACCCTATACACATAATGCAGATTCACATTATTTACACATCCACTTTTTTACCTACTGCCATACTAGTGCCTTTCCTAACCTCTACTATCCCCCTCCGCTCCCCTTCCCTCCCCTCCCATCCCCTCCCTTCCCATCTTTTCTCCCTACCCCATGGACTGTAATTCACTTCCCTGTCTTGTTTTTTTCCCCCCTTTTCCCTCATTTCCTCTTATATGTAATTTTGTGTAACAATGAGGGAGCTTCCTTGGAAAGCTGGGAATGGAACCACCATTTGACCCAGCTATTCCCCTTCTTGGACTATTCCCTAAAGACCTTAAAAAAGCTTCAGGATGGAAGATGAAATTAAAACCTTCCACGATAAACAAAAGTTAAAAGAATTTGCAGGTAGAAAACCATCTCTTCAAAACATCCTTGGCAAAACATTACAGGAAGAGGAAATGGAAAATAACAATGAAAACCAACAGTGGGAGGTAGGACAGTAAAGGGGGGGG